GCACTATGTACAACACTCTGCACCACTTGTCATGTCTCTCTGGATTGTAGCGGTGTACATAGTATTTTGATCCTTTTTCGACTTCTTCTACCCAGTACTGCCCTGCTTCATACAAGATTTCACCAAATTTCTCAAACATTGCTCGAGTGTAGATTTTGCTAGCATGGAACTCCAATGGCGTGTTGACCTTCATAGTTGTTGATGTCTGTACGTACAAATTTTTGTTGTTACTATATATGTATCGTAATTTCTCATGTTGGCACAAAAAAAGAAAATTAAAGGTGGTCATGCTGTAACTCACTATTTTTGTTCGCCTTTCTTCATAATTTTCATTTGCTTCTCGGTTGAAAAGAAGTCTCATGTATTGCCGAACGAATAAGTGCATGGGGCAGCTTGCTGGCACGTATCCCTTGAGCATGTGGTTTGCGCTTTCACTTCGCTGTGTGCTTGTCATCTTTGCACAAAATTTGCCCCAGAATTATGGTTTTGCCCACTTCTGACGTACTTCATATATGCTTGCCATGTACGGGTTTTTTGTAAACTGTATTTATCAAGCAGCTCTCTCCATGCATTTTCAAATTCATCTTCTGTCAACATGTGATTGACAATTTTATGGAATTCTGCTCTGAAGTTGCTTCGCTTTGTGTAGTATGTACCAAGTTTCTCTTTTGCCTTCTTAAGTATGTGCCACTTGCACCACCGGTGTGTGGTTTCGGGCATTGTTTTCTCTATTGCCAGCTCCATAGCCCAGCATTGATCTATTCAGGCAAACAGGTAGATGTTACTTATTGTATGATTTGGTCTTCCAGCAGTAATGACATGATTACCAATCAGTAAGTATCGTTTTCTGGCTGTTGTACCTCTTAAGTATATCTACCATGCCAGCATTTGTATGTGCTTATGGAGTACTATGAGATGGTTTAAATTTTGATAGTTTTTGGTGCATCTACCTGTAAGTATGGTCTGGGGATGCTTGCCACCCATCATGCGGATGAATTCATTGAACACCCACTCGAAAGTTTCTGATGTCTCATCCCTGACAAGAACACCACCAAAGATAATGCTTTGGAAGTGGTTGTTTACTCCAACAAAAAGTCTGAATGGTATATCATATAGGTTTGTTCTATATGTTGTGTCAAATGTTATTGCATCTCCAAAATAGTGGTACTGCATCCTGCTTGCACCTGTTGACCAAAGTAAATTCCTTATCCGGCTATCACTGTCAGGTTGAACTCTGTAATACAAGCCAGCATCTTTTGAACCCAATTCTGCAAAGACATCCATAGTTTTTCGGACGTCATCGTCTGCTTGGTCTCGGCTGATTTCACCACAGAGTCCCCTCAAAGCCCTTTTTGTGAAAGGCTGATTATTCATTGATCCAAAGAAACTACCAAGTATGTTATGAACTTTCCCAATGCTAATATTGTTTTCTCTAAGCTGCTTCACAAGGTCTCTTGTATATAGATCAATATGCTTATGTGAAGGCCAGTATACCTTTTCGCCACACTTATCTGTCAAAGCGTGGTTGTGCGATGGCCGGTGCTCACTTATATACAAGCCATTGTCATTGGATCGAAGCAAACGAATCATTGCAGGGCACTCGCAGCGGCAGGTCCGTGTATTCCCTCTCTTTGGTTTGCCCTGAAAATCCAAAAAAGTATCATACACGGTGTTAGTGGATATCCAGAAAATCGTGGCAACAATCTGTAGCTGAATTCATTTGGTACTTACTGAACATCCACAAACTATTTCCTGCATACACTTGGTTCTCTCAACATTTAGACGGCTTTTGCCGTATCTTATACCGAAACCGATTTCCCAAGAGTATAGATTGTAGAAGTCGTATGCTTCTCCCAACGAATCGAAATTATATCCAACCACTGGAACCACAACTGTATCACCTTTGTTTTCTGCATATCCTCTTAGTGTTTTTTCGAGGGCACACACCCTCCCAGCACAAGGAACACGCTCGGGGGCTTGCCCAATCCTGACCCTGCACAGTGAAGAAAGTATTACTTCTATTTGTTAATGGATGTTCTTAATTTTATATACAGAATTCATTAATTACGAATGATCTGCATGCATATGCATCTCCACTGCGATGTTTTTTTGTTCAAATGCTAGATTTGGAGGTGCGAACGAGCGAAAACAATTGCAAATGGTGCTACATTTTATACAGGAAGTAAATTTGTATAAGCAGCAAGCAAGTATCTACAGCAGAAATACACATTTTTGCATCTCAAAGTCGATGGAATACTGTTTGACACCAAAGGTGCAGCAGCAACACCACCACTCTTTTCAGAGTTATACATTCTTAAAAGAGGACAAGCATGGAAGTGCAATTTTTACTTTTACAGTTACGAAATGGGCTCATATGCATCTTTCTGTAATATTTATTCAGTCAAAATGTAACTATGCTTTTCAGTGGAAGAATTCAGTTTTGTCAAGAGCACACCATTCAGGTTAATTGCTAATTCTCGACATCTACTTTCTTGTAGGAGGTAAGCATGTACAGGCCCGAACGATCATACCTTCTTGTCCATCCGGGGACATCAGCACCTTCTTTTCCTGTAGATGGCTGCGGATCGACCGGTGCCAAGCTCAGTGCTTCTCCAGCGGGCTTCAAAGCCAACTCCATTATGATAGATGGGTCGCCAACATCCCCCATGCTCGATTCAGTGGTTGACTCAGTCTGTGCAGAAGTAGGCTCACCGGTCGTGATCAGATGGTCGGATCCAAGATCCGGCAGGGGGAACTTGCGCAACAAAAACGTGGATCCGTAAGCTTTCCTCGCAGCGCGTGTATCATTACGAACTTTGGAAAATAAGGAGTGGGAAGCATACCTGTCCACCGGATCTGAAAGGAACTCCAGCCCGACGCCGTTGACCTCTGCAGTCGCCATCATCCGTTGATTTGGTCGGTGCCGCTACTGACAACTCGACCGAAAGGGCGTGCGGGAGGAGGAGGAAGGGGAGGGCGGATGGGGCGGTGGGCGGGGAGTTATGAAGCTGGCCGTGGGCCCGTGTTGTTATTTATTACTTTTTCTGTCCGGTGCACGTTGTTATATTAGACGGAACTTTTATATGCATCTGTTATGCACCATTGTTAACTTTTATGTACCTTCAGCACAGGTTGCTGGACTACGGCGTTAACGACACAGGAGCATCTCCGATACGTATACGCCAACAGTACAGCCAAGGCAGTTAATATGCACACCTCATTAATACCACCGGACAAAAACTGAGTCGCTCCTTCCATTCGTCCACATACCAGGAGCGTACGCGCCCGTCCTCTACAACGCCACTCTCCCATCAGAGCTAGCTTGTGTACTTGGTGAGGATGCTTCTTGGGCTCGGGCAGTCTATATATAGCCGTGTCAGGCGAATCACCAGAGGGCACGAGGGCAACGCATGGCGCTTCCCGCCGGGCTATAGATGGAGGCAAACAGATATGGGTGATCATCACTTCACTTGTAACTACCATGCTTTTTTATTAAAGTAGGGGAGGGGTCCAGAAGGCCAAAGCGGTGTGACAGTACAAATTACAAACATCACCCGATGAATAGGCTGAAAAATCGGTCGGCGGCACACTGTAATTAACCTATAAATCGGTCAAAGATTCAGAATCGGTCGGCGGCAAAAACGGATCTGGTTACGTCATCGATCTCCATAGGACGATTCCATTTGGATAAGCACGAAGTCACTAGTGGATTAGCCAACGACGACAATACTCTAAGAAAGGAAATATGATACTTTCTCCTTTTGGCTTATACCGCCACTTGCTTTACGAAAATAATTGCACTACATCTCTTTATGTGCAAATGTTGCACACGAAACTTGGCTGAAACTGGGTTAGAACGTACCAAGTCACTTTGAGATCAGACTGGAACACTATATTTCTTCAGAAACATGTTTGGACCCAATTAAACTTACGCGCAACCCATTTGAGTACTCCAAATTTGTAGAACACTATAGGACCCTTTTGGTATGTAAGACCTTTTTTTTCATAAATCTTCAGATTTTTTTTAAAGAAAAACATTAGCAAGAGAGCTGCTAAGATTACATTGCAACAGAAGAAGAAGCCGGTGGGTGAAACTGCTCAGTTTATTAGAGAACAAACAATACAAAAAACCTTTACAAAGGAGACACCACACCTATCTAAACTAGGTCTAAAACATGAGATGGCATACAAAAATGCCAAGGGCGAAGCAAACACAACACAAATGGAGAAACACAACGCCGGCAAGAGCGACACCATCATACATCGCCAACCGTGCTCACATGCAACCCATTCAAATACTCTAAATTTGTGGAACAGTACATGATCCTTTTGGTATGTAAGACTTTTTCGCAAATCCTCAGAACTCTTTTTTTTTCTCACATAGTATTGTAAATTAGAATATGAAACATGTTAAAAATCCGCATTTAATTTATACATATTGAGATGGCATCTCCAGAAGGCCAAAGCGGTGCGACAGAGTACAAATTACAAACATCATCAGAAAGATAGAAAGATTACACACTAGTCTCTGAACTTTCAAAACAGCCCCCCTAAGTTCTTCTCCAACATCAACCGGTCATGCATGCACACCCACGAAACCAACCACTCGTGGTACTCTTTTGTACCAAAATACAAGACGTTTTTGCACTGTAAAATCATCTTATATTTTGGCACAGTACAGAGGTAGTACATGTATCACTTGACCACCTCAAACTTGAACTATCCAGCATCAACAAAGATGGCACGACTGTCTGATCAACACAACTTATCTTATTCATCAATGTTGAGACCATGCAACTAAACACTACTAGCGCTACAACGACAACCCGGAACAAAACTACACGTACGTGCGCACCTACTACAGTGCGACACAGAACTCCGTGACTCGGTACACCAGGCCACTGACCGGCCGGCCGTCTCGCTTTATTCGTTCACCATCACCCGGTGCAAAGATAGAGCTGAGCGTGCATGGACATCCGCGGCGGACGGCGGCGGCCAGGCTAGATCTCGTGGCACCTGGGCCCGGCCCAGCCGAAGTACCGGTCGCCGCACACGCGGAGGGAAGAGCCTGACTCGTCCTTGAGGCACTTCTTGCAGGTCTTGGCGCACTTCTTCACCTTGTCGTGGCAGAAGCAGGTAGGCGGGGAAGACCTCGTGCACAGGGGGTGGTCACAGCATTTCCATGGCCTCGGCTTCTCCTCGCCGACGGCGGCGCTCTCCTCGCTAACAGACGTCTCCGTTGCCATCGCCGCCGTCGCTTCCTGACCAACGACCGGTGGACCAGAAACTCCTGGACCTGCACGCGCGCACACCGTTAGATATTACTAGTACATGGAGATGCCAAGTCTTCGAGGATGCGTGGTACCAGTACCACTTGGGATGTCGTCGGCGTCGGGCTCGGTGCAGTTTGGCCCGGGCCAGCCATGGTACCGGTCGTTGCACATCCGCTTGGAAGGGTCGGACTGGGACGCCTCGCACCGGGTGCAGGCCTCGTCGCACTGCTCCACCGCGTCCATGCAGCGGCACCGCGGCGGGATGGACCTGCTGCACAACGGGCTGTCGCAGCACTTCCACGGCCTCTTCTTCTCCGTAGCCGCCGTCGCTACTTCATCAGCAAGACCTGGATTCGTACATATATATCACGTTCATCACTACTTTAATTAGTGATCTAGACCCTCACATATTTCTTTACGGAGGGAGTAGCTAGCAAAAGCACTTGCTCTCTCTTCACAATTCTGGCAGTAAAACAATGTACATATAGTTTATCTAATCAAATAGCGTGACAGTTACCGTTGCTCGGAAGACGAATGGTGTCTACATGGTCGTCGGCGATGGCAGCGACGAGGGCCCCGAGGGAAAGCACTAGCAGGACGGCAGCAATGGTTCTCTTCATGGCTGCAGGTCGATTAGCTAGCTCCTAGTGAATGAAACTTAGCGGTGCCGGTCCGTATTTATAGCCGCGCGCGCTAGGTTTAGATGAAGATCGATCTTGCCGCTGCTATTTCTGCAACGGGCTGCTGGGTTCAGTTATCTTAATGTACATATACCCAGGGACCCCCGACACCGTGCACGCATTGAGTCATGGTATCACATGTCGTGCACGAATAACGAAGCATACGTTGTGGACTACTTTTGACTCGATGCATGCATGCGTGCTTGCATAATAATTAAACTGATGCATATTGCGATGCTTCTGACTAATCTATCAGAGATCACTTGTAACTAGGCTTTAGTTAACCTAAAATTAGCAGGTGGCTTAGGGTCGACAGGCGGCAAACACGCGGACTGGTCACCGGCGAGCTCGATAGATTCCATAGTCCACTTGGAATGATGCTAGATTCTCATACTACAACTAGCTTCCAAACTGGATAATAAGACGCATTTTAGAGCATCTCCAACAGCCGTCCAATGCGTGGCGTTTAAAAAATAGGTTTACAGCGCACAAGTAATTTTTTTAGGACGCTAGAAGACCTTTACTCCAACAAGCGTTGTAAAATATGCAGTGCGCGCGAGTCCAGCGGTCCCATCTGCATCATCCCAGAGTTTGCAGCGCGCGCGACCGGACGCACTAAATATGCTGCACGCGATGCCTTTTTAATGCGCACGCTGCATTAGTTATACCGTGCACGCGCTTTTTGGGCGGCTGCTGGAGACTTCAAATCAGGTCCTCGCGCACTGAAAGCAATTTTTATACCGCGCGTCGCTTATATAGCGCTTCTGTTGGAGATGCTTTTAGTAGTCAAATCGGGCCCAATAGAGTAGATGTATAACCGAGTACTGCAACTTAATCACTTCGTGCAATCATAGCCGTCCGTTCTAAATTGCAAGGGGTCAAGTGGATTACTACGGTACATTATATTCTAGACACCATTGAATGGCTTGCAGGGTCCGGATCGCTCGGTTCGAGTGGATACGAGAAGTTCTCGAGTCTGCGTTGAATATGCCCTTACTTTCAAAAGGGTGCACACGCGTGGTGGGAATCACGATTCCGCGTGCATGCGTTGGGGGCATGAAGCCATCACGTGGTCTGCACACGTAAATAGATGATGATCGTACAAGCTCTCCTTAACCGATGGATTAGCACACTACTTGAGAGTGTTTAACCCGATGCATCAATTGCAACAAGACATTATGTACTTTTCTTTTGGAAGGGCAACTAGACACTCTAGTTAACCTATAGATCAGTCAATGAGTCAGAATCGCTCGGCGGCGAAAACGGATCTTGTCACATCATCGATGTCCACACGGCGATTCCATTTGGATATGAACGGACTCACTAGTGGATTAGCCAACGATGACAATACTCTAAAAAAAGAAATACATACTGTACTTTCTCTTTTTGGTTTATAAGGCCACTTGCTTTACGAAAATAATTGCAGTACATCAATTTATGTGCAAATGTTGCACACGAAACTTGGTTGAAACTGGGTTAAAACGTACCAAGTCATTTCGAGATCAGATTGGAACACTATATTTCTTCAGAAACATGTTTGGAACCAAGTAAATTTACGCGCAACCCATTTGAGTACTCCAAATTTGTGGAACACTACAGGATCCTTTTGGTATGTAAGACTTTTTCACAAATCTTCAGAACATTTTTTTAAGAGAAACAATAGCTGAAGAGCTGCTAAGATTCCATTGGAAAAGAGGAAGCCGATGGCTGAAACTCCTTGGTTTATTAGACAAAACCCAGACAAAAACCTTTACGAAGGACACACCACACCTATCTAAAGTAGGTCTAAAACATGAGATGGCATACAAAAATGCCAAGGACCAAGCAAACGCAATATAAATGGAGAAACACAACGTAGGCAAAAGCGATGTCCTCGTACATCGCCAGCCATGCTCACATGCAACCCATTCGTATACTCCAAATTTTTGTAACAATACATGATCCTTTTGGTATGTAAGACATTTTTCGCAAATCTTCATGACTTACCACACATAGTATTGTAAATTATAATATGAAACATGTTAAATACCCACATAGATTTTGGGACACATGTTTAATTTGTACATATTGAGAAGGTTTCGAAATTCATAAGTATCTTTAATTTCGGAGGACTAAGCATGAGTGATAGGCCGGATGAACATAATACAATTGTGCCACGTACAGAGTGTACACATTTTTGGAGCACGAGTGATAGGCCGGATGAACATAATATAATTGTGCCACATACAGAGTGTACACATTTTTGGAGCACGAGTGATAGGCCGGATGAACATAATACAATTGTGCCACATACAGAGTGTACACATTTTTTGGAGCACGAGTGTCAGTGAGCACTTTATTTTTGAATAGTTCAAAAAATATATTTAAAAGATTTAAAACATGCTGAAAATAAATCCTACAAGGTAATATATATGTATACTACACATATAAATGACAAATTCATGATTTCGAAAACATGATCAGCACATGCACTATTCACCAGTAAAAATCCATGCATTTGTCTTTTTTGTGTAGCTCACATGTTAATTTAACTCTGTATCAATTTTTTTGCGTCTGTAGTATGCATTCATATTACCATGTAGAATTTATTTTTGCATTTCTTGAAACTTCAAAATTGTTGTTTTTCAACTATTCAAAATGTAGCTCACTGATACTCGTGTTCCGAGAGACGTTTGAACAGTTATAGACTAATTTTGTACATACACTATGAAAAATACAAAATTCTAACTACAACTACTACATGCATGTACCAACAATCTCCCACTTAGGGCATGCAACTACAATGACACATACGATGATTGCTGAGGTAAATGATAGATAAATAAAAAGAATAATTTGACCTTCCTTAGTCAAGGAATAATCTCTTAGCAAGGTTAATCCTTTTTTTTGTTGTACATGATGCCCCACACTTTTCAATTTTAGTTTTAATCTGTTCTTATGAAGTAGCATGAAAATTTATTGGATTCATTGTATAACTTGTTATTAGAGGCATGCAATGTAAAAGAAAATGATCATATAAATCATTGTACTTACCTTACATGCAAAACCCTTGTGTTACGGATTTATTGTTACGGGCTGAAGTGGCAAATTATGGTTGGAGCTTAGGGGGGAAGGGGGGCACCAGTGAAAATCAAGGGGGCATGGATTGGTGGAAGAGGAGTCCGGAAAAACCAATCCATAGAAAGCTTCGGTAAGTGTACCATTAATATTTTTGCCTCCCATCATTTTATCTATCCTTGTAATCCTCCCGGTCTAGATTGTTGGGCCGCCACAGGATGACCATGGAGCCGCTTGACAAGAACACAAGAGATATCATCCACAACCACGATGTCCTCTCTTCAGCAAGTGTTGTTTCATAGATTGCCACTCCTAGATTGAGAATGGAAACATGTTATGTGCTACCTCTTGAGCACTGCGTTGGTTTTCCCTGAAGAGGAAGGGATGATGCAGCAAAGTAGCGTAAGTATTTCCCTCAATTTTTGAGAACCAAGGTACCAATCCAGTTGGAGGCTACGCGTGAGTCCCTCGTACCTGCACAAAACAAATAAATCCTCGCAACCAACGCGATAAGGGGTTGTCAATCCCTACACGGCCACTTACGAGAGTGAGATCTGATAGATATGATAATATAATATTTTTGGTATTTTTGTGATAAAGATGCAAAGTAAAATAAAGGCAAAGTAAAAAAGCAAAGGAAACAACTAAGTAGTAGGAGATTAATGATGATGAAGATAGACCCGGGGGCCATATGTTTCACTAGTAGCATCTCTCGAGAGCATAAGTATTCTACGGTGGGTGAACAAATTACTATTGAGCAATTGACAGAATTGAGCATAGTTATGAGAATATCTAGGTATGATCATGTATATAGGCATCACGTCCGAGACAAGTAGACCGACTCCTGCCTGCATCTACTACTATTACTCCACTCATCGACCGCTATGTAGTATGCATCTACAGTATTAAGTTAAAAACAGAGTAACGCCTTAGGCAAGATAACATGATGTAGAGGGATAAACTCATGCAATATGATGAAAACCCCATCTTGTTATCTTCGATGGCAACAATACAATACATGCCTTGTTGTCCCTACTGTCACTGGGAAAGGACACCGCAAGATTGAACCCAAAGCTCAGCACTTCTCCCATTGCAAGAAAGATCAATCTAGTAGGCCAAACCAAACTGATAATTCGAAGAGACTTGCAAAGATAACCAATCATACATAAAAGAATTCAGAGAAGATTCAAATATTGTTCATAGATAGACTTGAACATAAATCCACAATTCATCGGTCTCAACAAACACACCGCAAAAAGAAGATTACATCGAATAGTTCTCCACAAGAGAGGGGGAGAACATTGTATTGAGATCCAAAAAGAGAGAAGAAGCCATCTAGCTAATAACTATGGACCCGTAGGTCTGAGGTAAACTAGTCACACTTCATCGGATGGGCTATGGTGTTGATGTAGAAGCCCTCCGTGATCGATGCCCCCTCCGGCGGAGCTCCGGAACAGGCCCCAAGATGGGATCTCGAGGATACAGAAAGTTGCGGCAGTGGAATTAGGTTTTTGGCTCCGTTTGATATTCCTTTTCTTCGAAACCCTAAAACAGGCAAAAAACATCAATTCTGGGCTGGGCCTCCGGTTAATAGGTTAGTCCCAAAAATAATATAAAAATGGATAATAAAGCCCAATAATGTCCAAAACAATACATACTATAGCATAGAGCAATCAAAAATTATAGATACGTTGGAGACGTATCATTATGAGACAAGATCCTAAGGCCAAAAGACATTGCATGTCACTGTCCTAGATTAAAAATCGAAACATGTCCGGGAAGCACGAATGCAACAAAAGTTGGAGACGTATAATTTTAATGTAATTCTTCTTAATTATGGTATGAATATTCAGATCCGAAAGATTCAAGAGAAAAGTTTAATA